CATGGTTATACATTATAAAGATCTACAGCCTGATATAAAAGAATTATCATGAAAAGCATGCGCATGCAAGTGTGCTACAATCTGATTGGCTGAAAATTTAAATGTCTATAACTTTCTTAGTTTTCAACAAAACGGGATGAAATTTAGAATATGAATAGGTATAATAAATTCCTACATAATGGTACTATCAAAATTGAATGCACGAACATGCATTCATGCACGTGCGCGCGCGAAATATGCAAAATGACCAATATTTTTAAAAAACATTAAAATGTATATTGTAAAGATTTTTATACGCCCGTCTTAAGACGGGTCGTATTATGTTATAGGCTTCATGTCCGTCCGTCCGTCCGTCCGTCTGTCTGTCCATTCCTGTCCGGCTCATAACTTGAATACTATTAGGCCTTGGATTATCAAACTTTGTCAACTGATACTTCTTGGGTAGATGGTGTGTCGCGTGCAAAAAGTAGGTCGCTCTGACCTTTAATAAAGATGCTATAGCCAAATATGGAAAAATCCTGTCCGGCTCATAACTAGAAAACTATTAGACCTAGAGCTTTCAAACTTGGCAAAAGTATACATCTAGAGTAGAAGGTGTGTCGCGGCCTATTTCAAGGTCACTGTGACCTTTAATTAAAGTGATTTTTTTAAAAAACTAAGTTTTTTAAATTCTAAATTTCATAATCCTAAAAAATGTAAAAATATAGTTGTATCCTTATTAAAAGATGTTAAATTAAGTAAAAACTTATTTTTTCATTATATACTTTACAGCAATCTGTAACAAATGTTTATGCTTTGAGAGGAATTCAGTTTGTCCCATGGGCATAATTATCAAGCACTGGTCAAGAAGAATTTCGATAGCAGAAATTTGCATGTCAAATTAGAGAGAAATTAATGAGTTTATTGTCAGGAGCTAAGAGTGTCTTTAGATCTGATGCTGAGTTATCTTTATTTATCCCTTGAGAGTTGGGCAAAAAGAAATGGCCTCATAGTTGCTTGTGTTAATTAAGAATTCTTGATGGCTAGTCCAAGATCTTTCAATTGGTGTAATTAATTTAAACAAATTAATGTTTTAGTGTATGATTAAAACTAAATTAGTATTGTATAATATGATTAAAACTAATAATATATGTGTTCATTGAAAAAAAAAAATTATTTTTGCAACAAATATGCTATAAACAAATATGGAAAAATCCTGTCCAGCTCATAACTAGAACATTATTAGACCTAGAGCTTTGGCAAAAGTATACATCTAAAGTAGAAGGTGTGTCCGGGCCTATTTCAAGGTCACTGTGACCTTTAATTAAAGTGATTTATTTTTTTAAATTCTAAATTTCATAATCCTAAAAAATGTAAAAATATAGTTGTATCCTTATTAAAAGATGTTAAATTAAGCAAAAACTTATTTTTTCATTATATACTTTACAGCAATCTGTAACAAATGTTTATGCTTTGAGAGGAATTCAGTTTGTCCCATGGGCATAATTATCCAGCACTGGTTAAGAAGAATTTTGATAGCAGAAATTTGCATGTCAAATTAGAGAGAAATTAATGAGTTTATTGTCAGGAGCTAAGAGGTCTCTATAGATCTGATGCAGAGTTATCTTAATTTATCCCTTGAGAGTTGGGCAAAAAGAAATGGCCTCATGGTTGCTTGTGTTAATTAAGAGTTCTTGATGGCTAGTCCAAGATCTTTCAGTTGGTGTAATTAATTAAAACAAATTGATGTTGTAGTGTATGATTAAAACTAAATTAGTATTGTACAATATGATTAAAACTAATTATACATGTTCATTGGAAAAAAAATATATTTCAATTTTTATATATTTGCAACAATTTGCAGTCATGCCTCAATTAAAATTTTATAGTCTGAAGAATAATTTATGTTTGATTTTTGACTAGCATTTCCATTATTTCATAAAATATGCAGTAAACAAATTTAAGCTGCAGATCGATGGATATTTGTTATGCTCTAACATAGTTTAGAAGTATATGATGTTATTATTTGTTATAATCAATCCCTACACTGTAAAGTCTCTTAGAGATGTATGATAACCCATATCGAAAATAAATATAAAAATAATAGATTAAAATAATACAAAAATAATACAAAAAAAGTATATTTTTAATGACCAAATTTGGAACCCTTTTTATCTTGGTTCCAAATTAGGTCAAAAATAATACACTTTCTTAGAAATGAAACACAAAAAAAATACATTTTTAATATACTTTATTTCTCAGTAAAAATACAAAAATAATACACTTGATGTATTTTTTCTGTACTCTTGTATTTTTTCTGTATTAAATCTTTATCCAAAGTACAAAAATAATACAATTTAAAGAAGAACTAAAAAATACAGAAATAATATAAAATGTATTAATTTTGTATCAGTCTATTATTTCTGTATTATTTGGAGCACCTTGAAAAAAAAAATAGGAAAATAATACAAAATGTATTAATTTTGTATGAGTCTATTATTTTTGTATTATTTGGAGCACCTTGAAAAAAAAATAGGAAAATAATACAAAATGTATTAATTTTGTATCAGTCTATTATTTCTGTATTATTTGGAGCACCTTGAAAAAAAAAATAGGAAAATAATACAAAATGTATTAATTTTGTATCAGTCTATTATTTCTGTATTATTTGGAGCACCTTGAAAAAAATATAGGAAAATAATACAAAATGTATTAATTTTGTATCAGTCTATTATTTCTGTATTATTTGGAGCACCTTGAAAAAAAATTGGAAAATAATACAAAATGTATTAATTTTGTATCAGTCTATTATTTCTGTATTATTTGGAGCACCTTGAAAAAAAAAATAGGAAAATAATACAAAATGTATTAATTTTGTATCAGTCTATTATTTCTGTATTATTTGGAGCACCTTGAAAAAAAATAGGAAAATAATACAAAATGTATTAATTTTGTATCAGTCTATTATTTCTGTATTAAAATCACATTTAAAACAAAAAAATCTAAAAATAATACATTCTGAAAAATACAAAAAAAAATACTTTTAGGAGTTCAAAAAAGGTACAAGAATGATAGACAAAAAGTACATAAAAAAGCTTTAAATAATACAAAGCAGTGCCTAGAAAAGTACTAAAGACGTGAAAAACTTGTTCTTAAATGCAGCTTTCAATCAGATTTTAAAGAGAAATGGTTTTAGATTACTGATTTAGTTACTTTTTGTGCAATAATCTTGATCTTTTCTGTCTTACATACAGTATTCACTCTTCAATTGTCCTCATTTCTAAGTCATGTTTTATCAATCTTATTGTCTTTGTAATTTGTACATTTATAATGAGATATGAATTCAGAAGTCTAGATCTTCTCTCTGCTTTGGGGTTTCTTTTGCACAGCACTTTACTTTGTTGAAGAAGTACATCTCCAGTTTTCTCACTGTCATCCTGCTTGGTCCTGCATAATCTACAAAATAGAATATCAAAATGTACCGGGGTATATCAAAATTAGATGCACACACAAAAAGAAATCTTCACATGATTAGTTGATATTGTCAATGTTACACACCTGTAATGCTTCAAGGGGTAGGGTGGGTGTCCTATTCCTCTATAACTAATCAGCTTTTCTTCTATGGCTCTGCGGAGGCACTCAAACTGTAAAAGTTATGATACTGATAAATGTTTTGCAGAACAGGTAGAAATACAGAGCATTAAAAAATAAAAATATAAAACTGTCAATACACCTCATTGGAATTTTTCATGGCAAAATATTCTACAAATTGAGCCATTACCCCCCCCCCTTTTATTGGGGGGGGGGGGGGTCATTTGATTTGAAATCTTAAACTGATATTGGGCAAGGGAAATACAGATCATCATATATTGATATAAAAAATAATTAGTTTGTGCCAAAAAAAATCTTTCTTACCACCTTCTTCTCAAGTCATTTTTGAAATAAATTATAAGTATGCTAAACCATAAATCCATGAAGCTTAGTTGCAATGATTACACCCCCCCCACTTCTTTCACATTTCAAAATTTAAATGGTTGTATGCCAAGATGATTTTATCTGTTATTATTCCATGTTTAGGCCTGAGGGATAGGGTGAAATTAATTTTTAAGTCATTTTGGTCCATGTAAATAATATCATTTGCCATTGAAAGCCCGTAATTATCCATACAATTCAAGATAGAAAGTAGCATAACAAAACTCTCTTTCGCCACAAATCCAATATATCTGCATTTAATTTGACCTACTATGAATTGGTTATAATAGATAACATTTATTAATCTACATTTCACATTTTAAAAGTTGAAACTACTGTGCTATTTTATGTAAATACTTACCGCATATGGCGTTGTTTACACCAGGAAAGCCAGGGCATGATGCTTGAAAAACGCCAACCTCCTTCCGTTTTCGCTTTTCTTTGTTTATAAATGTGATCCATGCTAACATGCTGTAGCTAAACATCTATTTTCTACCAATTTCATCGGCGAATATTAGCTAAATTTTATTAAACATCACCAACTCTCTCAATTCGGTTCGTCGATCTATTTTTCAAAATGGCGTGGGTAAATTACCGTTAACCAATCAGAGAAAAGCAAAGAAAAATTTTAAAATCTGACCAATCAAATAGCTCCTTATTTACGAAGATTGCCGATTTTTAAATATAAAATATTTTTAACAGTCTAAGGAAATGTATTTATGTACGAAGTCTAATAAATAATATGGAATCAATTTAATAAACCCTTGATCATTACTAGAATAATTATTAGGAATCATTTCTTATAATCGTTATTTTTGTTTTTAAGAAATTTTCCGATTACAGATGAGAAAGATTTCTGGTCAGTCTATTGTTTTGTTTTTGTTTTTTTAATTATACAAGTTGACCTGTAAAATAGACCATAAAGTTCAAGAAGAGGGATCAATTTAGTGTTAAATCTAAAGCAAAATAGCAAGGCACAGAGCCATGCCCCCTTTTCTCGGCGCCATGTCCTTTTTTCCAAACAAAAAATTAATAAATATTCCCAGTGTAGGTAATATTCCTTAGCTGTTCTGTTTATTCAGTGCATACTGATAATCTCTTGTTTACATAACGCAACCAAGTGTGAATTCACGACAGGAAATCACTTCACGCTTGAACGCAAGCACACAGCCACCTGGCTAATTAACATGCCTCAGGCTGTCAGGGTAGAAGATTTAACTTGAGAAACTGTCATATGATTGCATTGATTATGCAAGAATTAGCCCAAGATCAAAGATAATTAACTTGTAAATTATTAACTAATTAAAATCAGGATCGTTTTTTTTTTAACTGAGAGTAGAATTAAACACAGAGTTGAAGAAAAACTGTTATTTTATCTGAATAAAAACAACATACTTTGTACCAAAAACTGAATGTGATGTGACAAAAGGCTAAAAAACAACAAACTAAGTTTCTTTGAATGAACTGATAAATTTGACAAGCTCAGAGGGTCAATGTTTCTTATTTAAGCCATTTTTTTTTTTGAAAACAAATTTATACATGGCATTAATTTTTTTTTTTTTGGGGGGGGGGGGAGATCAATTTTCACTTGATAATGTTGGTAGAATATTTTCCAAGTAAAGAGAATAGTCTCTACATGTATTTTCCAAAATGCCCCCCCCCCCCTCCTTCCCTGGAAAAAGTATTTTCGTTTAATGTTTAATTAAATTGACTGTACTACTACACAAATAACACAGTCCAAGCAGGTTAAAAAAATTAATACTTCCAAACTTTAATAATTTTTGCACATGTTTCAGCTAACTTTCTCTAGTGTAAATATCTATCTTAAACACACTGATGATTTAATTAGGAAACCTTCTACTTGCACATCCCTTTCTAGACTTGAACATTGTAAGCTCATTTCTTGAAATTTATTTAGGATAATTTGAATATGATTCCTTCTCTGAGTGAAAAAAATGCACATATATACTAAAATCTGAAGAAAACATCGTTTGCATGGTAATAGCTAGTTGGGACTTTCCATGTGCACAGGTAAATCACGTAATTTCTGAATTGTAGTATGATGCAATCATTTGTTAGCCTGCAAGACCACCTGTTGTGTGATAGATGTAAACACGTGAAAGATGTAAACCCGCTGAAAAGTCAATGTAAACCCGCTGTAAAATCTTCATGCCCAAGATGGAAATATTTCTCTGGATTACCACTGATTGAGATTAACATAAATTTTAGTACCAATTATTATTATTTAAGTTCTAGATTAATCGGATACCAAACTCTGTAAAATTACTAAGTCTAAATTTGATATAAAAATAATACAGACAAACTGTCTGTAAAATTATTAAGTCCAAATTTAATACAGAAATGATACAGTCTAACTGTATAGACTTTTCTGTAAAATTACTAAGTTCAAATTTGATACAGAAAAAATACATCTGGAAAAACTAAGTCCTGAAAAAATACAAAAATAATACACTGAAAATAATCTAAGTCCAAAAAAATACAAAAATAATACACTAAAAATAATCTAAGTCCAAAAAAATACAAAAATAATACACTGTACAAAATCAAAGTCAAATTTTAATACAAAAATGATATACTGAATTTCTTGTGATAGGAAAATAATATATTTTTTCTGTATTATTTTAAGAAAGTACAAAAATGAATGTATTAAAAATATATTAAAAATATACTTTTCTGTATTATTTTTTGATATGGGAAGAAATGGAAATTAGATAATTGAAATTTGTGTCAATCTGTTAATCAAGGCTACCTGATTTTCTTTCATCTTAACCAATTCATGATTTTTGAATAATATTTGACGGGCGTATCATGCTGTGGCGGGGCACTTTATTTTATTTATTCTCACAATATATAGATAAGTTAATTGTTTAGACAACATGCCATGATCATCTTGCATGTACATGCACATGCGTGCGCGTAAAATGCGTTAGTTGATATTATTGTAGCTTTTATAATTCTCTGATGAAGTCCTTCGATACTGATCATATTTTTTAAAATGTCTTACAGGAATACGGCACAAATAGGAATTTGGGGAGCGTTTGGGGAACATCTGTAACGGTCCCTGTTACAATTAGCACTAGTTCATTTTGGGCTCATGTGTAAGGTTTGAGACATAGAATCTAGAATATCTGTCAGCGATTTTTTTCAACCAACTGGGAAAGGGTCCGGTACCGGTTCAATTGGGAAAAATAACATTATAGAAGAAAAACAGAAGAATTTTCTCTCATTTATGCAAATGCAACATATTTTGTGTGTATTCCAACTTAATTACCTATTACTCCTTGTTTTAAAGAATAAGCAACAAGTACTTATTAATTTTTATATCAACGTCCCATGTTTTCACATTTTCATGCTTTCAATTTGTCAAAATGTATGACACTACGCTGTCTAAACCACAGGTCCCGCCAAATTACGACTTTCTCTGCTTTCGATTTAAGCGGAAGTGAAACAATTAGTCAACTTGTACAATGTTTCATTTAACAAGAATACGATGTCATCGTAGTCTGCTGCTTCACAGTTGAATTGGGAATTTTCAGACAAAGAATTGGGAAAAATTAACATTTTTTGGCATTGAGAACAGTGCCATTTATCAGTACCAGTTATATAAGGAAAAAAAAACGCTGTCTGTACAAAAATGTGAACTACAGCTTAAAACTACTCATTAAAACAAAAAAAAAAAAGAAACATCATCAGGTGTTAAAAACAGTTTTTACAATACACAGAAGATAATATAAATTCATTTGTCTGTTGGGAATAATGACTGGACATGCATCCAGTTAAAGATAAATTAACGAGTTTGGTGTGGGAAGTTGTTAAGGCATTTCTTATCAACCATGTGTTATCTCCTGGGAATTTGGCACAAGAATTAAAGATCTCTCTTCTCTTATTCTCTTAATTGTAATTTATTGTCTGTCAAAGCACTTCCTTACTGGATGACCAGCTCTTTATTTTCAAAATGAATTTGATATAAAGAATATCAAGATTAGTTTGATTTTGTATAATATGAATTTTTAGCTCACCTGAGCTGAAGGCTCAAATGAGTTTTTCTGATCACATTTTGTCCGTCGTCTGTCTGTCCGTCTGTAAACTTTTCACATTTTCGACTTCTTCTCAAGAACCACTGGGCCAATTTTGACCAAACTTGGTACAAAGCATCCTTGGGTGAAGATGAATTTGAATTTTTAAAATAAAGGGCCAAATCCCCTCACAAGGGGAGATAATCAAGAAAAGACAAAAATAGGATGGGGTCATTAAAAAATCTTCTTCTCAAGAACCACTGGGCCAGAAAAGTTGAAACTTATGTGGAAGCATCCTGGGGTAGTGTAGATTCTAAATTGTAAAAATCATGACCCCCGGGAGAAGGGCGGGGCCACAATAGGGAATCAAAGTTTTACATAGAAATATATAGGAAAAATCTTTGAAAATCTTCTCAAGAACTACTGGGCCAGAAAAGCTGAAACTTATGTGGAAGCATCCTGAGGTAGTGTAGATTCTTAATTGTTCAAATCATGACCCCCGGGGGAAGGGCGGGGCCACAATGGGGAATCAAAGTTTTACATAGAAATATATAGGAAAAATCTTTGAAAATCTTCTTCTCAAGAACCACTGGGCCAGAAAAGCTGAAACTTGCATGCACGTGGAAGGATCCTGGGGTAGTGTAGATTTCAAAATGTCTAAATTATGATCAGTGGGGTAGGGTGGGGATGCATTATGCATTACAAGGGGGAAATCTGGTAAAGAACAGAATAGTCAATATTTCACTGCAAATATTTGTAAGTGAATTGTGAACACCTCTAGATCCATAAAGTATTTGTGAATTGGCACCTTCTCTGAAAAACCCAACGGGGGGTATTTGTCCCTATTGGACAGTTCTAGTTTTTTCAACAATCAGTTTGCAGAGTGTCATGACACATAATTGCAATATATTTTTTTAATGCAGAAAAAAATGTTACAATGGAATAACAATGTATTAGTTTTGATGTTTCATTTGGTTGTACCTTTTTTTCATTCATTAAGAAACATAATGAGCAATTATATTTCACTGCAAAGTTTTGTAAGTAAATTGTGAACACCACCTCTAGATCAATAAAGTATTTGTGAATTGGTACCTTCTCTGAAAAACCCAGCGGGGGATATTTGTCCCTATTGGACAGTTCTAGTTAGTGACCGATTACCTGGTACACAGCGATTTTCACCTTTTATAGCCATTAATTTCTGGATGGCTTTAATGATTTGTTTCCATTGAACATCGGTTTAGTATTTTTTTATCTTCAAATCATTTTTAAATTATTTAGTTTGTATACGGTAGCGAAATTGGTCAATGGACATGCGTAGAAATGCGGCTATACCCACTTTAAAAGTGAAGAAATATTTAGAAATACATGTAATTGCATGAATACTTAAAAATGTTTAAGGAAAAACGTTTTTTAACAAACAGCATATGAAATAATATAACTAGCGATTCCAAGCACGTGTACACATATTCCTTCTCTTTTGATATAGTCAGATCATTACAAAGAACTTTAAACCATTTGTAATAATTGGTGTATTAATTGATGTCTTTTTCTGTGTATTTTTTTATTATTGTGTTTTTTAATAAATAAATTAAGCTAAAAATCATTAGCGTTGGACTTTTGATGTTTATATATATGAATAATAAATGCATTAGAAACTATGGTTGTAGTTTAATTTAGCTTAACTGGGCTCAAGAAAATTTACACACTTGTATTTACATTTTTAACGAGTACCCGGGTACTCGATCGGAAAAACGTCCAAGTAACCGGTTATTAAATATTGACCGATTTGACATCCCTAATAAAATTATCAAGCAAGCCAATCGATTGATCGTCGTCATGAAATCAAAAAATCTTACAGTTATTCCTTATATTTACATACTCTTGATTCCACCAATCCTCGTGCTACAAACCCTGCTTCTGTCTAGCTATTTGTCCTGCCCTGATTTTTTTTAACCACGCCTATTGATGAACCAGTACATTGATGGAGAAATGAATTACATTAGCTTTTTGTAATTTTATCTCGGACAAAGACATTGGAAATGTAAATATTTCTTAATACAAGTCTTAACTTACCTTTCACTTTCAACCAATCAAATGTACTCCTATTGGGGGTCATCCTATTTATGTCATTAGTACTAAAAAAGCACATGGTTAATAAAGGCCGACTTTACAAGTAAAGACATCGAAAAACTCATGGTTTTATGGGAAGGGGAAGAGGACTTTTGGAATATATCAGGCAGTAGCTACCACAAAAAAGATGCTAGAAGCAGAGCTGTAAGCAGAATTC